CTGCCACCGGGTTTCCCGGTACCAAGCGCTCTGCAAATTTTCGTTCTGCCTCAGCTTAACAGGAACAGGAAACAGTCTCACTGGCCTAGAAAATTACACAACCTAGCCGGTTCAGACCTTTCCCTGCCAGATCAGCTACAGAATCAGCTGTTAACCGCTTCCCTGTTCTCAGAATATTCAACGGGGTCTTGGAGTCAAGAGGGAGGTGTTTCCCCATTACTGATAAAACAGAACAGCCACTGAAATTTAAAAAAACAACAACCCACACGTATTGCCGTCTCAAAGAAGCCCACAATTCTTGACTTGAGGGCTGTATTCAGACTTCGCGTACCACTGTGGTTAAGCAAAACTGTGCACCAACTCGGCTTCTGGCCAACACTCATGTGCGTGTACCACATTTTCTCTCCTCCCTTCTCATGCCAAGAATCGCACGTGCTCCGGTTACCCATGGCACACAAATGCAGCTGCACAGGTTAACTGGAGAGTCAGCTCCCCCCTCCCCACCAGGATCCTAAACCAGCCAAACTTAGAATTGTGGGGGTTTTTTTTGGGGGGGAGGAAGATAATTAATTTCACTTAAACGGCATGCCTACAATGATACAGCTCAAATCCCCATTCTGCCCTGGAAGCTTGCTGGGTGGCCCAGTCTATCTCCCATGCTTGTCCTCCGCTTTGAGTTTCCACTGGGGAGACAAACGGGGTGTACATCTAAATCATGGAGGTAATGACAAACGTAAGAATCTTGGTATGAGAAATGAAGGGGAGGACAGGAAGCACAATGATTCATTACACTGTGGACTTCACTGCCTGGTACATGTGGTGATGGTTGTGAACATAAAGTAAAGGTAAAGGTTCCCTTGCTCGAAAGCCAGTCGAATCCGACTCTAGGGTTGCGGTGCTCATCTCCGTTTCAAAGCCGAAGAGTCAGCGCTGTCCGAAGACGTTTCTGTGGTCATGTGGCCTAAACCCCAAGGCGCACGGAACGCTGTTACCTTCCCACCGAAGTGGTACCTATTTATCTACTTGCAATTTCTTGCTTTCGAACTGCTAGGTTGGCAGGAGCTGGAACTAGAGACGGGAGCTCACTCCGTCGTGCGGCACCCGGGACTCGAACGGCTGAACTACCGACCTTCCACAGCCTGCAGTTCAGCGTCTTAACCACTTGAGCCACCGCAGCTCCGGTTGTGAACATAGATGGCTTTAAAAGGGGATCAGACAGATTTATGGAGGAGAAGTCCATCAGCGGCTCCTGGCCATGCTGACTGAAGGGAATCTCCATGCCCAGAGGGAAGAAGCTTCCAAATATTATAACATCAGAAGAGCCCTGCTGGGTCAGACCAGTGGTCCATCTAGCCCAGCAGCCTGTCTCACACCGTGCCCAAGCAGTTCCTCTGGACGGCCAACAACAGGGCATAGAGGCCGAGGCCTTCCCATGATGTTGGCTCCTGGCACTAATATTTGCTTCTGAATGTGGAGGTTCCCTCCCAGGTATAACTAGGAGGCAACATCAGGGGAAGGTTTGGGTCTCTGTGCTTGTTTCTCGGCCCCCTCTAGCACTCCTGGTTGGGACAGGATGCTGGACTAGACTGGCCCTAGTCTGACTCAGCAGACAACCTTTTAGGTCCTTATAAGGAATAGGGACTGCACGCAAGATAAGCAGCCACCTGAGTTTGTACACATTTCATAGGTAAGGTCTGAATGCAGCCCAATAGCAAAATACTCCCAGATAGCCAAGGGCTGTATACAGTGGAGTTATCTTTTTAAAAAGATTTTTAGCTCTCCCTTCCTCACACTGTGGGCACAGCACAAGGAGAGCTTTGCGTCCACAAGAATATAGCTTTAGCAAGTCAAGGAAGAAGAAGAGGAAGAGATTGGATATATAGCGGCTTACAAACTCTCCCCACAACAGACACCCTGTGAGCAGTGTTCCCTCTAAGCTGAGTTAGTGTGAGCTAGCTCACAGTTTTTTAGCCTCCGGCTCACACATCTTTGTCTTATCTCAGGAAGAATGGCTCCAGAGCAGACTAATTTATGCAGTAGCCAGATCACTCACTCACAACTTTAATGCCAGTAGCTCACAAAGTAGAATTTTTGCTCACAAGACTCCAAAGCTTAGAAGGAGCATTGCCTGTGAGGTAGGTGGGGCTGAGAGAGCTCTGACAGAAACTGCTCTTTCAAGGACAGCTCTGACAGAACTACAGCTTGCCCAAGGTCATCCAGCCAGGCGCAAGTGGAGGAGTGGGGATATCAAACCTGGTTCTCCCAGATTAGAGTCTCCACTATACCAAACTGACCGTGGGCATTCATGGGCACACTGCAGAAGGGCAAAAACGGGAACTGGGCCTGTATGCCTATGGTCAAAGGATACAACTCCTCCGTTTGATATGCTCCTTGGTGGTTCAGACCAGGAGCTTGTCTAGTCCAGCACCCTATTCCCAACAGCCAAATTCTCCCAGGAAACTTGTAGTTCGGCTATAGGAAAAAACCCTCTGCTTTGATTTTTCCATCCCATCCAGTACCCAGAGGTGCATTGCCCTGGAGCATGGAGGCTCCACTGGGCCATCACACTTGATAACCCTCCACAGCTCTTCCCTCCATGACAAAGTCATCTAATATTCACTGCGGGGCACTTGGTTTATGCTTCCGGTCGAACTTAATGTCTGTCTTGCACAAACCCCGGCCTTGCAGAAGAAGGTGCATTTACAATTTTAGTCCCCACCAGACATTTCTAGAAGCCTTTGCAACATTAGCCATGACAACTCACCGCTGGCAAGCTGCGGCAAGGTATCTGTCTGCAAGGAGTACAATAATTCTCCAGGGGTGAGTCCTGTGAAGTTCGAATGGGAAGGGGGAAACCTGCCTGAGAACTGCAGCAAAAACACAACACTGCAGAAAGTCACAGGGAAAATGAGGAACAGCCGCTTCTCCTCTGGTCTCCGACTCCCACAAGTTAACCCTTCCGAAAGTGATACCTCTTGGTGAATAAGAACACAGAAGGCTATATTTGCTGGGAGAGAACAGGAGAAAATGCTCCAGATTTAAACATGGACAGGAAGAACTTCTCTTTGGAAGCCCCTTTACGTATCTGTACGTTTATTCCCTAGGAGTTTGGTTTGGAGTATAGGATGCTGGACTGGATGGACCACTGGTCCCACCCAGCAGGGTTCTTCTTATGTTTTTTAATAGGAGTTTAGACAGATTCAGGGAGGAGAGATCTATCAGTGGTTACTAACCGTGGTGACTAAAGGGAACCTCCACATCCAGAGGCACTGAACTTTTGCATCCCAGAGCCAGGAGGCAACAACAGGGGAAGGCTTTGGCCTCTATGCCCTGTTGTTGGCCCTCCGAAGCAACTGGCTGGCCGCCGTGTGAGGCAGGATGCTGGACAAGAGGGACCACTGGTCTGATCCAGTAGAGCTCTCCTTATGTACCCCACTTTTGGTGAAAATTCCACTGGTCAGACCTTTTGTGGAGAGGTTCGAGAGAAGAAATCCGATATGGGAGCAGGTAATCCTTCCTTCCTGGAAGGAAAGGGCACTCCGTGCATGCCCAGGGTTCTCTCTAACTTGATTACGACGCCACGAAATTCAAGATTCAGCCTTAGAAATGGAAGACACAACATTCTGGTCTAGCCTGAGTCAAGCTGTGCACACCTTCCATTTCTCTGCTTTTCCTCACTGAGATTAAAGGGGCGGTCCGGGTTGCTCCTTTCTCTCCACTTCCTACTTTTGCTTTTAGGAGGGGGGGGGGTCTGAAGTTTCCTTGATGGGAGGGAACATTGCCCACAGGCGGCCAAGTGTTTGCTGCACCAGGCTGTTAGTGGCTTTTTAAAAGGGAAAAATTAATCAAAAGCTGCCAAGTTCAATTATCTGCCCCTTTAACAGCCTGCGTTTTATCCCTGCACACCCTAGATCTAAGAACACGAGCAAAAACAGATTTTGGCTTGGAGGAGAAGGAAAGGGGATTTCAAAAGAGAAGAAAAACAACCACCTCCTCCCATGCCTTTACACATCTTTACACATGTTGAATTCATTTCAGTGAAGGGTGGTATGCAGGGAGACTTGCTGGTGCATTTGCGACCGGTGTCAATGAGCGCTTGTAAGAGATCTGTTGCTGTCTGGATCTTCTGCACCTGATGGCAAAATGCCTCAGGGAGGCCCTAAGAGCCGAGAACTGTGGACCCCAAGAGAAGGGAAAGAAATCGTGCCACCCTCCACCAGCCCCTAGAATCCAGAGTCAGATGCAGGTTTGGGGGGCCCTCGGCCAAGATGCCGAAGGTGGGTTTCCACTTCATTGTTGCAGTCATTGCTCAGTGGGTCAAAGAGAACAAGCAAAGGTAAGGGACAGGGGGGTGCCAGGGTTGGCAGTGCCATCCTGATGGGGCACAGGCTTTGGAAAATACCCCTCTATGCCTGCCCCCCAAGGAACATGCACAAGAATAACTCATGCAATAATAGGGCAAGGCCTTTCCGAGACCACCGCAAACAAAAGGACCTTTGGCCAGCTGGAGGGCAGAGAGGGGCGTCTGATTCTCCCCTCTGCTGGCTCCCTTGCGAGCCAAAGGCCCCTTTTCTGGAGGAAAGGGGGTAGGAGACACCTACACTTTTCTCTAATGCCCCCAAAGAACCTCTTTTATGCACTGACGGCTTATGTTAGGATTGGGTTTACTACGCTGCATCACCCTTAGCCCAGACAGCAGCACTACACCTGCTGCAGAAGCGAGCAGAAACTGACAACAGTGCCCCTGAGCAAGTGCAGAGTACATCTCCCCCCACACACACACCCCGTCGATTTGTGGCGAAAAAGGCCGCCAGGTCCCCGTTGCTCCCAGTCCGAGCTTCAATATCTATCTGCCTACAGTCCCGCGGGCTCCTTCCTTGGAGGCACTCAGCACGTGCCCAGAGACACCCTCTCCAGCAAGCCCGCTCCGGCCTTGGGGGGCTCCGCCACTCCAGGCTCTCCCCCGGCCGCCCCCCGCTCTCCTCTCTCCCCTGACTCACTGGCGGAAAAGCTGCTCCATGTCCTTGATCTGCCTCCGGGAGAACTCGCGGAACTCGGTGTAGGGGCTGAAGACCTTGTGGCCGCTGCCCGGCGAGAGCTGCGTCTGGTCGCCGCCTTGGTTGAGCTCGGAGCGCCGCTGCAGCTTGGCGCTCAGCTCGCCGCCCGCCCCGCTGTCCAAGGCGGGCTCCGCGGCGGGGGGAGCCGGCGGCTCGGGCTCCTGCTCGGCCGCCGCCGCCGCCTCCTCGCCATTGTGCTCCCCGACCTGGAGGCGGCGGCTCAGCTTGCTGGCCAGCTCGTCGGTGGCCATCGCCCGCGGGGGGGGGGGGGGGGAGGAGGAGGAGGAGCAGGAAGTCCTGCAAACTGGCGGCCCTTTTGCAACCCCCCGGGGCTTCCTTGCGAGTCAACACGCAGGGGGGTCAGCCTGCCAGGTTGCTTGCAGTCCTGTGCCTTCTAAGCCCCTGGAAGCCTGGCCACTGAAGGGGCACGGGGGATCAGCTTTAGCTTCCCCCCCCCTTCCTCCTCCTCCTCCTCCTCCTCCTCCCCCGCAGCCCACAAGGCTGCAGCACTGACGTGGGTGTGCTACTGCAACGCTCTCCCGCCTTGAAGAAGGGTTTATTTTGGGGTGGTGGTGGTGGTAAAGGTGCTCGGGTTCGGAGGCGGGGCAAGCAAACAGCCAGGGTGGGGATCGGGCCCTCGAAGCTGCAGGTTTGTCTTCACAGATATGGGACGTAAGCCCGTGCTCCCCAGCTAGGATGCCGGGCTGGGGAAGCCCACTTTGGGGGCTTCCTCGTGGGACTGCGTAGAAGCGGGCCCCAGTTGTGCGGTCGGGCGTTGGGGGGGGGGGGGGGCTTGCTTAAGAGGGCAGGTGCGCGGGATCGGCCTGCAATCCTGCCCATTGCTTGGGGAGAAAATGCCGTTTCGCAAACGCGATCTGCCAATTCAGACTTTTTCCTAGACTGCCGGCGAGGGAGGGGCTGCGTGTCCGGATATTTCCCGCATCTAGTAGACACCCCCCCCCCCCCCGGGGAAGTAGGAACACTGGAACTGGAACGGCGCTGATTTACACGAGCATAATCCAGGCGAGGTATTAGGGTTTAATAGTGCTGTCTATGTAACCAACTGGCTCGGAGGCCAATTCTACACGTGCGTGCTACAGAATGACGGGCCTATCACGTGAAGGGGGGGGGGGAGAAGAAGAATCGCATTCGTTTAAATGTGTCTCTCCATTTAGTTGCGTGCAGTAGAAAATTAGCATTCGGCTAGAGCCTTTCTCCCTATTGTGCTTCGTACTTAGCTTGTAGGGGGAGTTTTTTACGGGCGGGGGTAACACACTCCGGATAACGCACTCCCCTGCCCGGTGCTCTGAAGTGGTACAGTTCATTCTTCAGACCCAAGACTCTACCGCTTCATTCTGCTGCATGTAATAGACTCGGTTGGAGGAATTCCGTGGGATTTGCTTGGGAGTAAAGCAGTTCGAGACCCGAGTGTGCCGCATGACGGAGTGAGCTCCCGTCTCTATTTCCAGCTCCTGCCAGCCTAGCAGTTCGAAAGCAAGAAATTGCAAGTAGATAAATAGGGACCACTTCGGTGGGAAGGTAACAGCGTTCCGTGCGCCTTGGTGTTTAGTCATGCCGGCCACGTGACCACGGAAACGTCTTCGGACAGCGCTGGCTCTTCGGCTTTGAAACGGAGATGAGCACCGCAACCCTTGAGTCGGCTGGCTTTCGAGCAAGGGAACCTTTACCTTTTTAAAGCATGAACAGCAAATAGATGGGGGGGGGGTGTCACCGAGCTGCAGCCACCCTCTGCATACCTCATTGGCGATATGCCCCCTTCAGTGGCTGGGGATGCTGCTGCTGCATTCATCCCCCAAACGGCAGAAGGATGGAGTCTGGGTCAGCGAGAAGAACCATATAAGTTGCTTTAGGTCCCCCACTGGGGAGAAAGGCAGGTTGCAATTAAATCAATGCAGTGACTGACAAGTATTGGAACTCATAACTGAAAACTGGAAAGCCTGACTCTGTGCATGTTTACCTGGGAGAAAGGCCCACTGCATTTAATGGGGTTTCTTGGCAAGTCAGTGTACATAGGATCCTCGGGGGGCCTTCTTCAATTTGAGGGTTTGAAGAAATACAGTTGATGGAAGGATAACGGAGAGTGTGGAAGGTGGCGGAATATTCGTTTTTCAGACCACACACACAAAAACTTAATTTTATTTTTATTTGATTTGATTTATACCCCTAACCCTCCCCGCAAGCGGGGTATATGGTAGCAGGTTGTAAGAGATTTATTTATGCCCGTTATCTCCTGCCTTTCTCCTCAATGGGGACACCAAGTGGCTTGGATCCTTCTCTTTTCCATTTTATCCTGTGTTGCACCAGCAACACTGGCTTCCAGTGGAGTGCCGAGTCAAGTTCAAGGTCTCGATGTTGACGTTCAAGGCCTTGAGCGGTCGGGGACCAACGTATCTGCAGGACTGTCTGCTTCGATACGTTACGGGGAGAGCGTTATGCTCCTTGGATACAGAGGTCATTTCGGGGGGGGGTCACGGGGGATCGCAGTTCCCCCGGGTGAGGTACGGGTGGGCGGGGCACATGTCGAAGCCCCGCCCCCTTCGCGGGGCTCCCTTGCACTCCCGCTGGTCTTGCAGGTCCAATGCCGGGCCCCTCATGGGGCTCGACAGTGGACCTGCAAGGCCGGCGGCGGCGGCCGGGACCGTTGGGGGCGGGGTGTGTGGCCTTATGACACACTTCCGGTGATGTCAGTGGGTGTGGCATATGCTAATGAGTTATGCTAATGAGTCCCCCTAGCTCTTTTTCTACAAAACGACCCCTGCTTGGATAACAATCTGCTGGTGACCCCTGGCCCTAAAGACATCCGGCTGTCCTTGACCAGGGCCTCTTCAGTCCTGGCCCCGACCTGGTGGAACTCTCTGCCAAACACCATCAGGGCCCTGCGGGAGCTGATGCAATTCTGTAGGGCCCATAAGGCAGAGGTGTTCCGCCAGGCTTTTGGTTGAGGGCAGAGCGACGGTTAACATCTTGGCTGGCACTCTCCCTCCTTTGGTGTAGTGGTTAGGAGTGTGGACTCTAATCTGGGAGAACCGGGTTTGATTCCCCACTCCTCCACATGCAGCTGCTGGTGTGACCTTGGGTCAGTCACAAGTTCTTTCAGAGCTGTTTGCTCAAGAGCAGTTTTCAGTCAGAGCTCTCTCAGCCCCACCTACCTTACATGGTGTCTGTTGTGGGGAGGGGGAGGGAAAGTATCTTGTGAGCCGCTCAGAGACTCCTTCGGGTAGTGAAGGGTTGGGTATAAATCCAATCTCCTCCACCTCCTCCTATTCTCCTCCTCAGACTGTTTTTACTTCCCCACACCCATGAGGTGATCACAGGCCGGAAATGGGAGAAAACTAATTTTTGCCACTTGATTTAAAAAAAAATTAATGTATTAATACTAATACTGTCTGTATTCATTTTATAGGGATAGAGCAATTCATAAATGTAATAGAATAAAATAATCCTCACAACAACCCTGTGAGGTAGGTTAGGTTGAGAGGGTGTGACTGGCCCAAGCTCACTGAGCAAGCTTCCATGGCCCAGTGGGGAGTCGAACCTGGGTCTCTCAAATACTAGTTGGACACTCCAGAACAAGAAGGGATACTTTTTTACGCTGCACTTCATTGACCTAGGGAACTTACTGCTGCTAGATGGGAGTCCAGTAGCTGCTTAGAGACCAACACGATTTTGAGGGTGTAAACTTTCAAGAGTCACTTTGAGATGACGGGAGCTTTGACTCTTGAACGCTCATGCCCCGGAAATCTGATTGGTTCCCAAGCTGCTACTAGGTTCGAATCTTGTTCTTTTCCTGCAGACCAACATAGCTATCCTCTGAATCTACGCTGCAATTGAAGCCCAACATAAATGGCTTTTGGAAAAGGTGTAGAATAACATGAGAGCGAGTCCCGTGGAATGCTGCGCCAGTTACTTCTGGGTAAAACGCCTGTGACTGCCCTGTAAGCAGTGTTCCCTCTAAGCTGAGTTAGTGTGAGCTAGCTCACAGCTTTTCAGCCTCCGGCTCACACATTTTTACCTTAGCTCAGGAAGGCTGGCTCCAGAGCATACTAATTTATGCAGCAGCCAAATCACTCGCTCACAACCTTAATGCCAGTAGCTCACAAAGTAGGATTTTTGCTCACAAGACTCCACAGCTTAGAGGGAGCATTGCCTTTAAGTCTATCCGCAGTTGTTAGGATACTCCAGGTACCAGCCATTGAGGGGAATCGGTCCATCGTCGTCAGTATTGTCTACTCAAACCGGCAGTAGCTCTCCAGGGTTTCAGGCAGAGGTTTTTCCACATCGCTTCCTACCTGATCCTTTCAACTGGAGATGCCGGGGATTGAACCTGGGGCCTTCTGCAGGCCAAGCAGATGCTCTCCCATTGAGCCACAGCCCCTCAGTTGAAGGAGGTAGAAGTCTCCACAGTGTGATAGTTGGCTGGCCACTGCTGACAGGCATAATGCTGAGTGAGATGGACTGTTGACCTGCTGTGAAACTGATAGTCCATTACAGAAGCATCTAGGACAGTGCAGAGGGAGACTGCAACGGGGATACCTGTTTCTCTGTGCTGCTGTAACAGCATGGCCTATAGCCACGTCTTGCTCTTCCGGGCAACATCCCCTGCTGTATTTTTTAAACACCTCCTTGATAAAAAAAAATTAGCACACCAAGGGAGGCTGAATGAGAACACCCTTTCCTGACATCCTAACTTTCTTCATGCAGAGAGTCTTCATTTTATTTACTTTATTTATACCCTGCCCATACTCCCCAACGGGGACCCAAAGCAGCTTACATCACTCTCCTCTCCCTTTTTCTTCACATTATCGCCTGTATGAGGTAGGTTAGGGTGAGAGCTTGTGACTCCACATGAAGCCCGCTGGGTGACCTTGAGTCAGTCACCGTTCTCTCAGAGCTCTCTCAGCCCTACCTACCTCACAGTCTGAAGGGAAAGGTTAGTAAGCTGCTTTAAGATTCCTTCAGGTAGAAAAAAAGCAGAGTATAAAAACCAGCTTTTCTTCTTCCTCTACACAAAGCCTGATAGGTGACCTTGGGTCAGTCACAGTTCTCTCAGGACTCCTCCAGCCCCACCTACCTCACAGGCAGTATTCCCTCTAAGCTGAATTAGTGTGAGCTGGCTCACAGGTTTTAGCCTCCGGCTCACACATTTTTGTCTTCGCTCCAGAGCAAACGCATTTATGCAGTAGCCAAATCGCTCGCTCACAACTTTAATGCCAGTTGCTCACAAAGTAGA